TGCGGGCACATCCCCAGTAGGGAGTGTGCAGGAGGCAGCTGATCGATGTTTCTCTCTCATCAATGTTTCTAACTTTCTATCCCTCTCCCTTCCTCTCTGTAAAAAACCAATAAAATATATATTTTTAAAAAAATAACTGCTAAATCTAGGTGGTGGGTTACATTTCCATATTTCTAAAATATGTCCTAATTTAAAATAAAAATTTAAAGTGATTACAAAGTGGCCAAATAAATTGAGAACTATATGCATGTATGGTGTTCAACATGAAATCTCCAAGATCTAGAGAATTAATCTCAGTTAACAACAAAACAGCTATTAGAAGACTCAGTACTTTGCCACTGACTCACATACAGATTAGAATAAGACTTAATTTTACAATAAGCGCAGGCTCATTTACTATGTAGCAAAGTTCAGAGAAGTTTCTTAAGTTTCAATTTACTACTTAAAACCACATTTATCCAGGTTGTATTGGCAGTATCAATTATCCAGAACCAGGAAGTTAAAAAAAAAAAAAAGTCTCTATGGAAAGCCAGAATAGTTAATACAAAGTCCATACAACACAGCTCATACCTTTCACTCAAAGGAGAACCCATCAAACCCTCACTTAGAAATGTCTTCATAAATTCAAACAAGCCTGTTTCTCTGGTTACTTAGACCGCTTCAGATCAAGTTCAGTAAAATAAAAGAGGCAAGAAATTTCACAACAGGCAGCAACAAGGCACAATAAGCAGCAAAAAATAATAGACTCAGAGTAAGAAAACAAACAAACAAAAAACCTTTAAAGAACAGATATGAAACTAATATACAGTATCATAGCACATAATTTTGAGTAATCTATGGCTATAAGTATCAATGACAGATGTTCAGAATGATGTCCAGTATTTTAAAAAAGAAAAGAAACAAACCTAGATTCTGAGGAAGTATAGAATTTTTTAAAAATAATACATATTAGAAATATTTTCATCTAATCAGTAAATATTTTTAAAATTCTAAATGCCTCAATGGGTACACTTCATTTATCTAAAAAATTCACTGCAGAATTAATTGCCAGATGATATTAGATAAAGCTTCACATATAAAAATTTCTTAGGTGTTTCTTCATAGATACATTTCAAAAAACAGAATAGAAAATCTGAACAAATTCAATTCCTTATCATCAATCTCTCAAATTTAATTTCTTAAGACCATTTAGTATTCTAGCACAATGCTGGACAAATTATTAATTTTATCATTTTTTAAGTAATAAAAAATAACCAAAATTACTGCAAATGCTAAATTGGGGCAGAAAATTCCATAACACAGGGATGACAACAACATCCATTTATGTGCCAACTTTCAGTGTTCCAAACAAACTACTATATCTGTAACTCTCCTGTAAGTGCCAATTTAGTCATCACAAACATGAATATTTTGTTGGCGCAGGCCAGGGATTGTCTAGTGTATCCTGACTTCTGGCCTTGAAGGATGATGGTAATTTCCCTGGCACAGGTGAAACATTTCCATAAGGAAAAAAACAATTATTGCATAAATACAATTATAACAAAGAATTGTAGCCACTCACATGAACTTGTAACCTATTTCTTAATTATCCCACAAAGCAAGAAAATCAGAATTTGAAATAGTTACAAAAATCCATTGCTCTCAAATATCCTAAAGGGACGAGAAAGGGAATGTTCCATTTCTCCAGGTCAGTGATTTTCAATCTTTTTCATCTCGTGGCACACATAAACTAATTACTAAAATTCTGCGGCACACCAAAAAAAAAATTTTTTTTTATAATCTGACCAAAAAAAAAGAATACTTTTGATTCATTCAACTGGACAACTATTGTTGTGGTGGTGGTTGTCATTTTTATTTGACAATCTATGGAAAAAGAGGTCAGTGCCACAACTAAATAGTCAGGTATTGCATGTTTTCAAAATTCTTGTGGCCCAGGTTGAAAATAGCTGCTCTAGGCCCATGATAAACACCTTTTCAAAACCTGCTGAATTAGACCACACTCACTTGTGTACAAGACGACTACTTTTTAAATTATCCACATTGACAATTTCTTCACCTTCCCAAGAGTCCACACCCCAGGCCAGGTTAAAAATCCACTAAGTTTCTAATATGTAACCTGTACAAATACTCTGGGCTTATCATAAAATTCTGTAACTAAAGCAACCAAGCAACTTGCATACTTTGTGTAATGTGATTCCAACTATTAGGAAACTGACCCAATACCAGTTATAAATCTGGTTTCTAGAGATGTAATTTTGTCCACATTTTAAATTTTCCACTATAAGATACTACCTAATGCCACAATTTATTGCTCCAATCCATGGATTTCAAAAAACATTAACATCTGCTTTTTACTACTAATGTAACTTTTTACTAATGTTAATTCCTCTTTACACTTCCAAAGGTGGCAATTCATACAATTAAGGAGTCCAACTGTCCTTTAACAACACCTGTTAGAATTCACTATATATTGAAATGCCGTCTTTCATGTGTTGCACCTAGCCTGAAAAGGATTTCTGAAAAGAAACAATGTGAAAAGTTCATGTTACCAAAAAAATTCACATATTTCCTTCTATCAAATTGACAAGTCCCTGCTAATATCTAGCACATTACTATGTGCTCCCTCAATGACCCAAAACAATCTTTTAAGTATTTCTCATCTTTTTGGAAAAATAGAAAAGGAATAAGAAGTTCATCATTGCTTGTTGTTCTATCCTAATACTTAAGTAAAACTGTCACTTCCTAACAAAATAATCATTTAAAAATCTTTCTTGACAAGTTTTTTCTGAAAATTTCCCCTAAATATACACTCCTCTCAGAATTATGAACCTATTATGCCAGCTAATGTGGTAAAGAAACAAATAATGTTTTTAAATGTTAGTCTTTTCACATAATGCGAACTCATTCATCACTAGGTCCTTCCTTTGCCAAGTCACAAGACACGCTACTGTTTACAATCCCTCCCATCTGCCCCCTGCCAATATATATCAAACACTCTAGTCACTTGGTTTAAACAAACATCGTTTTCCAAATAACCCTTTCAAATCCCAATTTAAACCCAAGATGCATTCATTCTGATTCATACTCTTAATGGAAAAATTCGAAATCATCTGACTTTCACAGGGTTAAGTTTTGCTTTTTGATGCAGCCAGACCCTAGAGTCCTCATGCTTTCACACAAGTGCCCCAAATGTGACAGTACACTTTTTAATTGTACACTTTTAGGCATATTTTTAATCTGCGGCGTACTCGGCTTCCAAAGACAACTGCCCACTTTCAACTCATTCAAACACTCGTCTACATCTCTTTCATTTCGCCGCTATATCCACGCCCTGTTCTTTAAGGCTGAGGCCTACGGATTTTTCCTCCTGACTGCAGTGGGAAGAAAAAAATGAAACAAACTATTTTGGCCCTCATTCTTTTTAAAGAAAACTGCTACACAGTCCCCATGTTGCATTACAGACTTCACATAACACATCACGTAATACGGTATCACAATGTCTACGGTTCAGGACCTTTGTAGGGCATCAATATGAATGGTCTCCAAAATCCAACAATACTTCCGATAATGCTGCAGAGGGTGTGTGTGGGGGTGGGGGTGGGGGTGGGGGGGAGCATGATTCACCAAAAACTGCAACCAAGAGTAATGGAATATTTCCCCCAGTGGAAGGCTAACACCGATGGCTTCTTTCAGGGGACGGGGCTGCTGCAAACCATCGCTGTAGCAACAAATCCACCTGCTTCGAGGGCTGCACAACCAGCAAGACGGGAGGACCACCGGAAACGGGGTCCTCTTGCAGCTTCTCTAGGGGTTCGGGGCGAACCGGCGCCGCTGCACTGTCACTTGAGGAGAAGGGGAGGGGGGAGGGGCGGACCATCTCGGAAACGCCAGCCCTGGGCCGGAGCAGGCGGGGAGAACTCAGCCC